AAAAAAAAAAAAAAAAAAAAAAAAAATCATCGCTGTATACATATATTACACTGTTGTTTTATTTATTTTTTTATTTATGTACACACAAAAAAGAAGAGATAGTACAGAGTAATAAGAAAATTATGTACAAAGGCACTGCTTATTTCTTTAAGAAATCTCTTCCAGCAGACCTGCGAGAGGATTATGAGAATAATAATTTAAAAGTGATGAGTGTGTGTAGAACAGCTAAAATAATAAATACAACATGAGAATTTATAGTAATGCACATACACATAGCAAATATTGTTAAACTTGAATACAAAATATTATAAGTAACACAGTATATACGAAGAGTATAGAACAATGATAATCTTTTGTGTAGTCTAACAATAAAGTGATAAAAATATATTTACCAATGCAATCTTAAAGTGTGAAGGAAAGCAGATAGCCCCTCCATTACCACCAAAATGGAGATAGTGAACATGACCCAAACGCTGAATATGATAAATACTTTGATGGCACCGAACATCGAGTAGTCCCGTAAGGCTAGTTTCGATAGTACCATATTCCATAACATTTCTGATAATTCTGTATTAACAAAAACAATATTTAATTGATATAGTATGTATGTAATAGTATGTTGTGGTTTATATAATTTATTTTATTTGATGTGAATGTATGTATCTATGTATTTATTTTGACAATGTAATTATAACCTAGCGTTTATTTTTACTCATGTCTACTATAATTTTATAAATGATTGCCAAATATTAACTTTATCACAGCTACGCACTTCGTGAATCTTTCACTTCATCAACGAGGGACAATATTATAATTTGCGTAATTACTGGTGGTAGGACCTCTTGTGAGTCTGCACGGTTAGGTACCACCACCCTGCCTATTTCTACCGTGAAGCAGTAATGCGTTTCGGTTTGAAGGGTGGGGCAGCCGTTGTAACTATACTTGAGACCTTAGAACTTATATCTCAAGGTGGGTGGCGCATTTACGTTGTACATGTCTACGGGCTCCAGTAACCACTTAACACCAGGTGGGCTGTGAGCTCGTCCAACAACCTAAGCAATAAAAAAATAAAATAAAAAATTTGTTCAATAAAAAATTTTCAATCAGTCAATCAATCAATATGTATCTTTTTTTAGTAAAACACCAGTTCCCAGTTCTAAGGACGACAGGGTTGTATTTGTGATAAAAAATACAAACATTTTCAAAAACTTAATCAGAAATAATAAAGAAAAAGGAGCTATGTATTAACAAAAAATCCTACCTAGAACGAACACAAAGATGTGATGTCGTATATTAAAGTATAAAACCTAAACATAGCAATAACCCTGGCCATTTTCATCAATCGATATCTACATTAAAGTAGCAACAGAATAAATACCATAGCTAACTTCAGGCAACTAGGCACTTCGACTAGATAAGCCGCAATCTGCGTTGACATCAATGTGTACGTTTCTACGCCTCCACTCGAAATATGTTCCCAACATGTTACAGAGGAATATCTCATACAGCACAACTATGGCATGTCGTACATTTTCGCCATAGCTTTCGGAATGCTTTCGCGACACAAATGCAGACAGAACCCCAAGGAATCCCATCGATCGTATAACTGATATCCCGATATGAACATTTTGATTGGAATATGCATTGTTTGAATATTCGAAAATCTTTGAATAGTTTGAATTATTATTGTCATGGACATTTTGGGTATTTCATTTTATTATTACAAATAGGCAAGAGACGTAGAAAGAGGCAGATTCTATAGGGCTGATTCTATTATTAATATTTCAAAAAGAAATTTTGCTTTACCAATACAATCTTTGGGATTTCAAGAAACCGAAATATAAGTAGGTAGGATGGCCAGTTTCTCAAACTTACGACAAATAGAAAATCAAGCAATACCCACAAAATAATGTTTCGAGAGAACAAATTTGTTTCACATTGAAAAGTACGAGGGCGGGATGATAAGTAACTAGCCTCTACTATAAAAAGTTAAAATTATTAAAATATATAATAATATGTCATTTTTACATTCGTATCTCAGGCCACCTGTGTTCCAAATTTGAATTTGGTGGCGTGAAAATTTTGTTGATTTTTTGTCATTTGAAAATATATTTCGTCAACTGTTTTCAAAATGGATAAAATTGAACAAAGAGCGTTGATAAATTCTTGATTTCTTCATATGAAGGGCATGAAGGGGAAAGATATCTATGATAAGTTAAAGAATGTTTTGGGTGAATGTGCTCCTTCTTATGCCACAGTAAAAAAGTGGGTGGATGAGTTTAAATGCGCTCGTACATGTGTCCAAGATGAACCCCGCCCCGAACGTCCAAAAAGCGTCACGACTCCGGAAATTGTCGTGAAAGAACATGATATAGTTTTAACAGATTGACGATTGTAGTTATCTGAAACAGCTGACACTACAGGTATCTCAAAATAATGGGTACATCATATCCTAAGTGAGGAATTAAATATGAAAAAGTCATCGGCCCTTTGGGTGCCGCGATTGCTTACGCACGATCAAAAAGGGATTCGGGTGCAAAACTCAAAAGAATGTCTGGACCGTTTCAGAGTAATGAAGCCGATTTTTAGTCGATTTATAACAACAGGTGAAACATGGGTTCATTATTACACGCCAGAATCAAACATTCAAATCAAAACAGTGGACGCAATCGCGATGCCCGGCTCCAAAAAAGCTATGGCTGTAAAGCCGGCTGGAAAAGTGATAGCTTCCGTCTTTTGGGATGCAGATGGGATCTTGATGATAGATTACCTTCCTAAAGGTCAAACGATTAATGGAGAGTACTACGCTAATATTCTAGATAATTTTCATCAGTGTATTCAGCAAAAACGACCAGGTATGGCGGAAAAAAAAAACATCTTCCGCCAAGACAACGCTAGGGTTCACACATGTGTTAAAGCTATAGCAAAAATCAACGAATTTAAGTATGATTTGCTGCCCCACTCATCTTATTCGCCTGATCTAGCGCCATCAGACTTCCACTTATTCCCTAAGTTCAAAAATTTTTTGGGCGGACAGAAATTTGCCACAAACGATTAAGTCATAGCCGCTGTAGAAGAGTATTTTGCAGGCCTCGAAAGAAATCATTTTATTGAAGGCATTACTGCTTTCGAACGAAGATAGAATAAGTGCGTAGAGGTTCACGGAGACTATGTCGAAAAATAAAATTAATTTTATCACGAAAAGTTAAGTGTTTTATTGTTAGGCTAGTTACTTATCATCCCGCCCTTGTAATAAGAATTTTGAAAATACACACTTTTAAAAATAGCATCTATGTTTAAGTTTAAAAATAGCATCTATGTTTAAGAAGATCGAGATAGCTTACAATTTAAACGTTAAATTTCAGCGTCTACGAATTAAGACGTGGTTTTCTCGAAACTAGTGGGAGTGGGAAGGCTTTCCTCCACTCACACTCTTAGCTATTTTTAAATCATAATAATATAATTAATGCTCCAACCATTCGTTTTCTACTTTTTATTTTATAAACTTTTAAACGTCAACTCAAAACCATTTCAATCGGATTTGGGCTCGACAGGTATTGTTTGTTAGATTAATATGGAATTGTAGTTTATAATCCTCTTGATGTCGACTATGATTTTAGCTGATGATTTCGCGTATATCAAAGCATAGTCTACTCTACGCTAATTGCAATCGAAAAGGGATTAATTTAAAACCAAAAATCACTCTACAATACCATTAAATCTATTTTGACTTTTATATGTCACGTTTTTTTTTTTAACAAATTGCATTGTTTTAACTCTCCATAGTATTTAACTATACATTACAATAATGTTATTTTATAATTTTTATGAAAGATGTAGTTTCAATATTTTTTTATTAAAATACAAATAATAATTATTATATTCCTATCAATTTTGGGAGATGTTGTAAGATATTATTTCCGATGGTAGATGAAATTGGTTGCTTTAGGTGATACCAGATGAATAAACGGGTATACAGTACCGAGTACCGTTGGGGTAAATGTGTTCTTGAGTGGAGACCGCGAATTGCCAAACGCAGTGCAGAATGACGATCATTGCAAGGTGGCTGGCAAAAGCTGAATGAAAGAAGCCGAGGATCATACTCCGTAGCGTACAATAGGAAAGACATATGTACAGCAGTGGACTATAGCGGGTTGATGATATGATAAGCAAGAACCAGCCACCACTTTTTTATCGCGCCTTACCTCAAGCTATAACTGCGGTTTGTACTATCGGTATAATTTAAGGATAGCCAGAATTTGTGCTTTACAATTTTAATCCACCAATTTGAACATTTAACACGGCAGAAATAAACCCTGCTTATTTATGCCGTGAAGCAGTAATGCGTTTCGGATTGAAGGGTGGGGCAGCCGTTGTAACTATACTTGAGACCTTAGAACTTATATCTCAAGGTGGGTGGCGCATTCACGCCGTAGATGTCTATGGGCTCCAGTAACCACTTAACACCAGGTGGGCTGTGAGCTCGTCCACACATCTAAGCAATAAAAAAAAAACGTATATAATTTTTGATACTTGGTTATCTAACTTATCGATTTATCCCGCCAGAGGGATCTAGCCAATGGTTTTAATCACGGCATTCATTAGATATAGACTTAAGTAAGAACTTAAGGTAAAATAATTTTTGCCACGGATGAATAAACGAACACGTCACCAAAACGTCACGCCATAAAAATTTCAAATTCACTTTTGGGAAAGTAAAACATAAAATACAGTAGGTACAAAGCCAACAAGTACGGCTGTATCGCATTATACTTACAACGACAATAAAGCAAATTGAAATTCCCGCACAAGCGCAACCGGCGCCCGGCTTTCACTCATATGCAATTTATTATGTTGAAAGCGTTTCAGAGATTATGTCCAGACCAATAGTCGTTTCGTTTGAAAGTTTCAGAGAAATGAAATTAAATGTCACGCGGACCGGTTATTAAAAATTCTAGTTACAAACAGACTCTGAGCTTAGAGGTCTTTAATTTTGCGGCTGTATGCATTTGAGCCGCAAGATTAGCTGCTGGTCTCGTTTTTGTCGACAAATCTACATTTGTTCTCTGTGTTTAAAAAGTTATTATACTTAATTTCACGAATAGTAGTATTTTATTCTAAATTCATGCTATGACATGTCCTTCTTCAAACGAGGCTTGTGGAGAGTATTAAGTAGTAGGCAGCGGCTTGCCTCTGCTCCTGGCATTGCTGAAGTCCATGGGCGACGGTAACCACTTACCATCAGGTGGGCCGTACGCTCGTCTGCGTACAAAGGCAAAAAAAAAAACTTCAGAGGTGTCAAGGGACACCCGGATGGAACGAAGTTCCTTTCGATTAATTAGTGAAGGAATTAATTGTATTTTTTTTTTAAGTTGTAATAATAAATTACGGCATTATGAAGAAGAAAAAAACAATACTATGAACTAAATTACTATTGTTGAAACGCTATCTCGAGAAACTGTACTCATTACGCGGACCAATCGGATACGAGCAATGTCACGCGATAAGCGCCCACACGTTGATTGGTCAGAATGACGGATCTAAAGTGTCGTGACAACTTTTCGTAAGAATTTTTTCTGTCTAGCCCCCTTTCACAATGCGCGATAACGAACTTCGTTCCAAAAAAAAATATTGGAAGACACAACAAGAAAATGCGTGTTAATATTTTAAGGCGTCTCTAGTAGAAGATGTCGATCTGACATGCCAAATATTTACAATTCTCGAAATAATTACTTTCTACTAATCAATTAAATGGGATGCTTTACGCATAAAATAAGTAAGCTATACAAACATCTCCAGTTTCAGTAATCATTATTTTTTACTATCTCATCAACACAAACTAATAATTAATTATCAAAAGTTTTTTTGACAACAAATTCATTTATCGACAAACGGAACATTTATCCGATACCCTGTCAATGCAGATTGCAGTAGAGGGTCATCTTTTGGCTTTTTATATACATACCCTTGAACCAAGGGCGGATCCAGCTTTGGCGCCAGTAGGGGGTCACATAGTCAAATTTTGATGCGTTCATTTTCAAACGTTTGCCATTATACAAAGTTATTATATTATAGTAAATGAATTAAATATTGAAGGTATGTAGTTACATAAAATCTGTATGGTGACAAAATATATAAATAAAATCATTATATTCAATTAGTGGTCCACCTAAGTTCTGGAACCAGCTCAGGGGGTGGTCATGACCCCCATGACCCCCCCCCCCTGGATCCGCCATTGCCTTGAACCAAATCAAATTAATGACTTGTTATTTTTAAATCTATCGATCTACGGTTTTTATTTTATTGTTTTGTTTAGTTAGATGAGCTTAAAAGACACAATATCCTAACTGGTATTATCTTCGGGATACAATTCGATTTTACATAGTATTTATAGTTAATTTATGACTTTATTTTATTTTTTATATTCAATACCGTATTTGTTTAGATACACATTTTCTTTGAATCAAAGACAAGGAAAAAAACAAACACCAAGCACACGGCTTTTATATTCTTCATCTAAAACTGTAATAGCGTTGCGTGGGCATATCTATACAAATAATATAAGGAGGAAAGATTTGTTTGTTTGTTTGTTTGTATTGAACGGGCTCCGAAACTACTGAACCGATTTGGAAAATCTCCAATAACGTAACCCAAGGTGTAAAAAAACTACCTAAAATATTCTTTACATCGCGTGCCCTGCGAAAACTATTGATGATAGAATAAAATAATGTACTACGACTTTGTAGAACACATTATTATTTACAAAAAGTGTCACGACAGCATATATCTAGCTATTATAGTTATGCCGCAATAAGTGTTATTTTATTTAAAAAAATAAAACAACGTCAAATATCGTTGAAATTTTTGTTAAAAACACGAGCGGAGCCGGAGCGGTCCGCTAGTTGAAAATAATCACATGATATAATTTTTCTTTGATTAATCGTAAAATCATCTCGTATTAATTAAATAAACGATTTAATAATATTTTTGTGTTCAGCTCAGTTTTTAAAATCATACGTATGCATTTTACATATGTATCACTTCCGCTGATAATTTTAACGAATTAAGTAATAATAAAAATAAAATATAGAAATCGAGGAGCTCACAGCCCACCCGGTGTTAAGTGGTTACTGTAACCCAAAGACATCTACAACGTACATGCGCCACCCATCTCGAGATATAAGTTCTGAGGTCTCAAGTATAGTTACAACGGCTGCCCCACCCTTCGAACCGAAACGCATTACTGCTTCACGGCAGAAATAAGCAGGGTGGCGGTAACTACCCGCGCGGACTCACAAGAGATCCTACCACCAGTAAATTAATTTATTTTAATTGTTACCAATCCAACGCAACCCCATAGTAGAATTATTTTGTCGCTGCAGTTTGGGTCAGAAAACATAGCCCGGCTAGGGCGGTGAGCATGTTGCGCGGGCGCAACGCCATTATCGATAAAAACAAATGAGTCATCGAAGGCAGGTACATGGCGGCGGGGTGGTATACGAAGGGTGGTGAGACATTGTTATGTTATGAGTAATTTGTAGTTACCTGCAAGTTATAGTACATTATGTCGAAGAGAAATGTGTTTTTATGCATTTGTTCTCTGAATTTCTTTAGTGACAAATCAAATCAAATCAAATCAAATCAAATCAAAAAAGTTTTATTCAACATAAATGAAAGTACATACTTGTTGAACGTCAAAAGAACTACCGCCAATTCACAAGAATTAGCCTCCGTCCTGAGAAGAATTGGCAAGAAACTCAGCGGGCAAGTCTTTTTTTTTTTTTTTTGAAATATTAGATTTTTTTTTAATATTAGATTTTTTTAAATATTCATTTTTACAATAATTATTATAACATAACAATTATTACAATATTGAACACACACAAACACAATGGCTACTCCTTTGTTTTGTATCAAAACGGCAGAATTTATTCAAAATAATATTTGCACGTGTTGTTAGCAACAATGTGTTAAAAATTTTCACTGAAATAAGAATAAATCCCGAAAAGTTACAAAGTGTTAATTTCTGCCGTTCTCGTTAACTTGCTGCGGCGATATGTGGTGTAAGTGTTCGATTAGTGATTTTTCTTTCAAATTTATCACTAACCCACAAAATGACAAAACTAAATACACTATCGATAACGCTTATCGACAACAATAATGCGCATCACTATGCCCGTCCATAAGGCTCGTGAGTGGAAGAGAGAGCAAAATATTCACTTCACCGCTCCGACTTTTTATGACCCAAACTGCAGCGACAAAATCATTCTACTATAGTTCATTTTACAGAAGAATAATTCACCTAAAATGATATTTGTGTAGGCTGTACTTTTTTAACATGAAGCCCACCTTTAAATGTAATCTTGGACCCCACAGATTAAACTTATAATACAATATGTACATATAATACAATACACTTACCAACATGCGCCAAAGATAATGCCCATAGTCTCAAATACGAAGCTGTATGTGATATTGTACTGAGGACAAACTCTATTGTGTGTACTGCTTGATGAATCATTAAATCCCCAAATGAAGAACTGTCGTGCTCTTTTTCGCTGGTTTTCTTAGGTTCCTTCCTTTCTTCATCAGAGTCTCTTCTCTGATATCTTCTGAAATCACTCACTTTGACCTGAATAACATTATAATGAGGTTTTTATGGATTACGATTTACAGGAGTGCACTCTTACATAACAGTAAATACACTCTTGCGCTGCATTGTATTCGTAAAATAATCAGTATCAACTAAGACAAAATTATTATTTACATAATTACTGGTGGTAGAACCTCTTGTGAGTCCGCACGGGTAGGTACCATCACCCCGCCTATTTCTACCGTGAAGCAGTAATGCGTTTCGGTTTGAAGGGTGTGGTAGCTGTTGTAACTATACCGAGATCTTAGAACTTATATTTCAAGGTTGGTGGCGCATTTACGTTGTAGATGTCTATGGGCTACAGTAACCACTTAATATTACGTGGGCTGTGAGCTTGTCCACTCATCTAAGCAATAAATATATATATATATATATATATCACGTAATAATAAGATTAGTCATATGTACTAGTTTATTAATCAAACTAGTCGTAATAGTCAAAATTTTTAAATCTCGTAAAGTTTGACACCAAGACAGAAGCAGATAATTAAATTGCTTAGAAAACAAAAATATACAAAACATAGTAAATAGATCATAGCATACATCAGGCTTTTGTGTTTTCTTTTTGTTAGTACAGTACAAATACACAGGTGTTCCCAATAAAAGTAAAGGTATACACGATATGGCTATAATCATCAGTATCTTCTGAACTAATTCTTGTTTGTTGAACATGTACGCGTCGCAGTTCGCGCCCACCGGTTTAGTTTTAGTCCATAGGAACATATCAATGAATAATATCAGAATTTGAGGAGCACAATTTGCACCTCGCTTGCCACCTGAAAATTATAAAAAGGATTAAGACCAATTTCTGGTAACATCGTCGCCTAGTTTCTTCTTCTTCTTCTGTAACGTATTGCGGTTTTTAAAGTCAAAACGGAAATATTTTTCAACAAATCAATCGGAATATGAATTAGGTTGGTTAAGAATGATCTCGAACAAAATATTAAAGGTAGAGTGCAGTGTTTTATAAAAAAATATTTTGAGTAATAATAAAAAATATTTTATGAATGAATATTTAATTGTACACTTCAGTACAAAAATATTACTAAATAGTGGGAGATTGTTCACTAGCACAAGCCGAGCTTATTGCTTATACTTCGGTAGACGAAGCTAACAGAGTGCCGCGTGGTATTATGTAATTACTGGAGCCAATAGAAATCATAACGTGTTGAGACATTCACATATTCAGTCCTGATCCCGAGAGATACGGGAAGTATGCCATAAGAGAATAGATTACTATACTATAAAACAATTTGGAACAAAATCAGAACTATGAATATTTTAAAATAGGAAATCAAACTATGATAAACCAAAGATACTAAGAATTATCAACACGCTTCTTTCCAGAGACGAGAAGGCACTTTGGTTAATATTTCTAAATACCTACAAGCTCAAAAAAAAGTTAGCAACATTACTTTTAAGTATTTAAATATTAACCGTCTTAGAAATCTGACAGTTCTAAGAGCCAAGCAAAGCCTACCGATACAAATTTAATATTTAGAGAGGCATTTAAAAATCGAATTGTGTTAGATAACATTTTTCGGAGAAAAGTACTAGAATCCACAAAAACGAACATCGAATAACAAAAGAATCGTAAGAGTTTTTTTTTTGTTTCCACGAACAGTTCCCCTAATACAGTCTTCATCTCTTTAAAGATTCATTTCCACGATTACGCAATGTAGAATAATAAATCAGGACTAAACAACAGAATAAAATAAAAGAAGAATAAAAGCAAAAATTTCACACAACACAATGTTTATATAAATCATTCGAGCATTCGAGAATTAGATTTTCTTACTGTTATTATATCGTAATCGATAATCGAAATAGTTATTTGTGAATTTGTGCATATCTTTGAGGGCTGGAAAGGCCATTCAAATCCTTTTCAAAGCAATGGGGACGTTCGACTGATATCACAAAGTGACGTGGTAATGAAGTGTTCACAATTTTTATGTACTCCTCAAATACCATACAAAAGTACCTACGTTTAATAGCGCAAAATTAGAGAAACATTTTAACGCAAAAACAAAAAACAACGAGGTACAAAAAATGTGAATTCAATAAAGAATTCCATTTAATTGAGATTGCAATTTCTCGACTGAACATATTAGAATAGGGCTCGTTCGGAATGCACCCACCTGCTCCCGTGCTTCGTCAGAGCACTCATTAATTGACGACTTTTTTCTTGAACAGTTTTATATTTAAAATCTATCGACATCCGCTTCGGGCTTAAGTGTACTATGATTGTAATGAAAAATGCGGCAGGGCTTATCGTTTTTATTTTTTTATTTAAAAGGCAGTCTCTGTAGCTCTTATTTTAGGAATGTTAATTATTGGATAAAAGTCAAAATTGCAAGGAATGCAGCTAGGTTAATAAAGGGTTTCTTCTAAAAAAAATAAATGTGCGCGTGCAGCTTGGTGCACGTGAAATAATAGAAACTTATTTTGTAGTGTGTGTGTGTGTGTGCGCTAGTTCTCTTCTAATAAGGAATGTTGTGCGGGTTGCGGGTTTCATTTTTATTAGATGACGTTATTCCTTCACCGTGAAAGTCAATCGTGAACATTTACTATTATATTTCACTGAAAAAATTAGTACCTGCCGGTGGGATTCGATCACCGGTGCATCATTTTATACGGATGCTCCGGACATTTTACCCTTCAGGCCACGACGACTTAGTTATAAAATATTTAATATGTTACTACCATCTTCAAGAGCAAAGATAAATTAATAACAATCCATCTAGTGGCCGACGCCCGTAAACAGAATGTGTATAAGAGAAACGACCTAGCTCGCTTTCTCCCTCTCTCCATGTCGAGTAGTTCGCGAGACGCTCTGTCTATTCTCTCACTCTCGCTCTTCCTAAATTTTATATTTTCTCTCTAGACGCAACGAATCTGTCGCGAGTTAAATTATTTATACTCTTAACGCGCCTAAATAGGTTTCACTTCAAAATAAGCAATGAAATGTAGAAACGGCTACTGTGCTATTCGATGTTGTTTTGATGTCGACAATCAAATCAATTACTAAATATGTTGTTACTTTCTAAACATCATCATTTTACTTAGAAAAGCTACGCTATTTATGTGCTGATTAAATGCGTAGAATCAAATAGCTTCATTATCATAAAAATAAAGCGAAAGTCATTATCATAAAAATAAGTTGAAGTCGTCGTGGCCTAAAAGATAAGACGTCCGGAGCATTCGTGTTGAAGCGATGCACCGGTGTTCGAATCCCGCAGGCGGGTACCAATTTTTCTAATTGAAATACGTACTCAACAAATGTTCACGATTGACTTCCACGGTGAAGGAATAACATCGTGTAATAAAAATCAAACCCGCAAAATTATAATTTGCGTAATTACTGGTGGTAGGACCTGTTGTGAGTCCGCGCGGGTAGGTACCACCGCCCTGCCTATTTCTGCCGTGAAGCAGTAATGCGTTTCGGTTTGAAGGGTGGGGCAGCCGTTGTAACTATACTGAGACCTTACAACTTATATCTCAANTGTTGTGAGTCCGCGCGGGTAGGTACCACCGCCCTGCCTATTTCTGCCGTGAAGCAGTAATGCGTTTCGGTTTGAAGGGTGGGGCAGCCGTTGTAACTATACTGAGACCTTACAACTTATATCTCAAGGTGGGTGGCGCATTTACGTTGTAGATGTCTATGGGCTCCAGTAACCACTTAACACCAGGTGGGCTGTGAGCTCGTCCAAACATCTAAGCAATAAAAATAAAAATAAAAAAATGTGACAAAACAGTATCTTAAATGAAGGGAAAGTGTGAAAGTGATTAGTAAAAATTATTTAATTACTAAAACAAATCAACAGTACTTACTTATTTTACCACTATACATAAACCACTTGAAAAACATCAGCAGTACCAGCCACATGAAAATGCAGGTTAAAAATACAATTTCAGGTATAAATTGAAAAACTATTAAGTAACGGCGATTCAAGTACCTAGAACAAGCGTTTTTGTTGAATGTAAATAACCACGCACAAATCCGCAGTGCAAAAAAAAAAAAAAAACACAAACAAGATTTCGCGTCGGTTGAGACGTTATCTTATACGCAATGCCAAAAAAAATAATGTATAAACAAAAATAATTTTAAAAGCATTAAACTATAAAATACAGGTTTTCCCATATCACTGTGGTGAGCCTTTTGGCAAGGGCCTCCTCTAATCCTTTTTAAAGCGCTTTACCCGAATGAATTTTGTTTCATCCGCCTACGTCAGGAGTTGTAGACAAAGTATTGTTCTGAGGTAGACTTATGATTCGTTTCTTTCAGAAAATAATCAAAATGAAAAAAAAAACATAAAAATAAGATGAGCTAACGTAAATAAAAGCACTGACTAGAGCCTGATTAATCAATGACGCTAGACTATGTCCGTTCATAATATGGTAAGAACTAAAATTATTTTTTAATCGATTTTATTACATAGTTAATACAATATCTTACCTAATATTTTACATATAACCATAATAAGCTCGTCATGGATTTTGCCTACGAAATATTACGGAGCCCTCCATAATTGATACTTAACTGTGATGTTCTATTTTTGTATCAAATTTATCTTACACCGTAGCGAAAAAAGTATCTTTATATTTTAAAGTTAAGCGAAAAAAGTTGATTTAAAATAATTATATCTTATAGTTTTTTTGTATTTAACCCACTAATTGAACAAGTAATCTAATATGTAAGCTAAATAAATAAATAATGATAAAGCTCTGTTATATATTATAGTAATATTATAATTGTATCGAAGAGTCTACTGGATAATGTTATTATATATTTATATTTTAAATGAGCGCATATCGGGCTGTTAAATATATAATGTTCCCTCGCTCATTTAAAGTCAAATGAGACGTGAAGAACTCCATCTGAAGAACAAGAGACTTCTTCTTCAAAAACTGTTGTGTTCGATGTGACGATGCTTACAAATCAAAAGATTCTTCACTTCAACGGTAAAATGGTTAATAATTTATTGTAACTCTATTGGCAAACATATACAGTATACATAATGTATTATTTTATTTACATCAAAATAAAGCTTCGCCTAGTAAAACTATAGCACAAACTGAGTTGCTCTATAAAGAGAAACCACATTTAAAGCTATTGCTTCACCAGTTTTTAATTTTTTCTATATTTCAATATTTAAAAAATGTTTTAATGTTTCTAATGTTCCTTCTTCTTATGTTTCAATATTCAAATTATCATTTATGTCACATTTGTAACATATTAACCTCTTTTAAGATTTATATAGAGGTTATATGCCGATAGAATTGCATAGTACAGTACAGTACACATAATATTATTGCCTGATGAAACGTACGCAATCTTGATAAAGCCACCGAAGTCAAATAAGAAAAGCCGAACTAAAGAAAATTAAACGCAGCTGGTATGTGATAAAAATATTCCGCCAAGAACTAGAAATACAAATTGAAATCTTTGACTAAAATCACTGAGGCAATGTCGCTGTTTCCGGTTCATAGTCAATTTTACCTACGAGACATTTTTGTAGCAGAATGAAAAATTTCCGCGAATATTCGATACATTGTAAGTTATTGCTTACACTTGGTTATTTAAATATCGAATAAACATCCAGAAAAATATATTATCAAAGACGTCTTCAATTAGTATCTTCTCAACAGAATATTGAAATAGCAAATTTGTCCGTTTGATAATACCTAAACTATAATGCTTGTTACTCATTAATGTTCTTCTTCTTCTTAGTCGAATACTTCATCAGCTTCAGCTTCCATTTGCTTCGGTTTTCGGCTTCTCTCAGGGCGTTGGTAACAGAGAGTTCAGTGAGCGCAGTTATCTGATCCGACCAACGGTTTGGTGGCCGGCCGGCGGGTCTTTTCCCTTCTATCTTGCCCACCACAATCAATCTTTCAAGGTTGTCTGGTGGCCGCCGAGCAATATGACCAAAGTAACCAAGAACCTTCTGGTAGCAAATCGTCGACAGTCTCGTTTCTATACGAAGTTGCTCGAGGAATGCTCATGAATATTAATATACGTCAAATGAAACAGTTTCTGAGCGCTCGTATATAGTAAGATTGTATTGTCATTGCTTTTGACATTGGCGTGTAGCTCCAACTCTTTTGCTATGTGGGGATTTAAATTGGCTTGTATTTTTTACCGGACCATATTATTATTATTACACGAGACTAAATTCCTATGATCATTTCTTCAAATTATTTTTTTATTACTTACTACGATATTAAAATTCTACTATTACTAAACCTATTATTGATGTATGTGATATATTTTAATACATAAATATGAATACATCTAAACTAATAAATTTTCAAGACTTTATTTAGTAAATTTTATCACACGTTTTATAATAAAGTTTTTATCATCAAAGTATTTAACATCTTCCTTTACCTTTTATTTCCTATGCTCTATTCCTTTATGTTTTATTTTCTTTTTACCTTTACTAGCAGACCCGGCCACACGTTGTTGTGGCTAAGGTTTTTGTTTCTAAATAACACGTGGCCGGCTATGCTAATACCAAAAATTAACAAAGTAAGATCAATTGGATTTCACTATATTGCGCTTACTACTAAATAAATTTCACTTATACTTTAGCCTCAGCAACACGTGGTGCTTATGCCATTCAATTGTAGCTTATGTGAAACATTGGTATTTTTAGCACAGTGCCATCTATGAGATATTAATGTCTATAAAACTGATATAAGGCGCCATCTGTTTTAGACTTATGAAACTTACAATGAATAACAATAATCAACATAAGAAATCATTCTATCGTTAATTAATAAATATTGTCACTATTAATCGAAATAAAAACCAGCATATGGCATAAGTTAGAACAAAAGACATATTAAAAAAAAAGTTAAAATCGGTTCAGTAGTTTAGGTGTCCATCGCGGACAATTTTTTTTTTTTTTTTTTTCCTACCTATGCTGATAGCCTTGAGAGGCTATTTCAGCTTCACCCTAACGTTAGTAGGTGAGCTCGCGGGGCTCAACCGGAGAGTTGGTAACACTGACCCTAGCAAGAGCAGTGCTTCGCAGAATCTACCACCGGATCAGAAACGCGACCCACTGAGAAGATCCGGCGAGAAACTCAGTGGGCTGTGTCTATGGGTTAGTTCGCTCGTCGAGCCCTTCGTCGCAAGCGACGGGTTCGACGAGGACGGTGACCGGTGCTTGTGGTGCCTAAAAGCACCGTTAATGGATCAGGAGGATCCGTAATGACGTGCTTTGGGCGACGTCGACGGTTTACCATTCGGTCTACTGGGTCGGGTATGTAATTTCCAGCGGCTACGATGAGAGGGTTCTCATGTCGTGCCGCCTTCTCAAAATGGCGCAGCGATGCCGACTGTAGATACTTACTAAGAGAGTCGAGCTCCAGGTCATCGTGGAGATCCACATTCCTAAGGAACCATGGCGCTCCGACGGCTATCCTGCAGAATCGTGATTGAATAACCTGAAGGGATTTCAAGTGGGTGCGGGCTGCGTGAGCGAACACTACGCTTGCATACGTCATGACGGGGCGTATACAAGTTTTGTAGAGAGTTACCTTATTGCGGAGGGACAGTTTGCTTCGACTACAAAGCATTGGATAGAGTCGTCCTAGAATAAACGCGGCGCGGTCGCGTACCGTTTTTATATGGGGACGGAATGTCATCCCTCTGTCGAGGGTGACGCCTAGATATTTGACCTTCGAGACCCACGGTATGGGCTGACCAAAGAGAGTGATGGGACTAACGGCGGAGGTGTTTGCGCGCCTACTACGGAGTGGGATGCTCGAAGTGATGTTCGGAGGGCGACCCCTTTTGAAGAGCACCGCTGCGCTTTTCGTGGGGTTGATGTCAATTCGCGGACAAACAACGAGACACGTAATTTATATATATTAAGTTTAATTCTAAATATGAGTTTAGTTGACTTGTCTCATCGTATTTGACAAACGAAGTGTATTTTTTAGGTAATCCAAACTGAGATTAACAGCTTATACCCAGTTTATTGTTTATATATTACAGCACAATGCGAATCTTTCAAAGAAAATAAAACTGTGAAGACTTACCAATGGTTTACAACGCTCAAATTTAAACCGAATATCATATGAAGGACTCCGACAATTATAGAAAACTTCATTTTAATAGAATTTTCATATATTATGTTATTCTTTGCGACCTGAAAACAATTAAATATTATACGCGACAAACGCGTTGAGCGTCAGTTAAAATTTAAAATATGCTCTAGACTCATTGTAAATATGAAGTCGTCATAAAAGTTAGTCTGTTGCAAAACGAATTGTTGCCATAAATAGGGCCGCCAGCCAGGCTACTAATTCATTATTTTCTGAACCGCCAGATCTAATTAATCTTCCTTTCACACCGTGAAATAAATTTTAAGTCAAACGTTTGGATTTTCCTTCCATCCCACCATGTCAACAACAATAAAAACTCGAGAATTGCTTCACTATAATATATTTTGTTTTGTTTAGAAAATAACGTCAGAATTATAATTTAAACGAAGCTTGAAATATAAGAAAAACGAATATCTTTATCAATTTTCTTTTGGCTCTAGTTATAAACGTTAGATTGTTTAATTACAAAAATAACATTTATATTATTTTTGCTCCAAAAAATTATAGTAATTATAAAATGAACAATGAAATCTTCATCGGAAAACGAAGACTAGCGTAGTGATTCTTCACATGTTTGATTTAAAATCAAATGTATATTTATGGATGCACCAATGGTATAGCCTAATTACATTGTAATGCTACAATAGCGTAATGCATCCGAAGTCACGCTACGAGGGAACCTGGAATTCATTGTACATTTTTTGGCACTTTAATCTGTCCCTAAGAAGTCAGATATCATCATCGGTGACACTATGTCCCTCCATTGTTGTCAATTACTAGTATTGCAGTAGCACGCTGTCTTAATCATAAGCATAAGATCAAGCTGGCCACGATGCTCCTTGTCTCAGAAGTTGGCTGACACATGGAATGTATTTAATTGCACAGTCCACAGGTTTGCTTAATATGAATGACTTAAATGAGTTGTCTAAAAACCAGTACATCCAAAGTAAAATCCCAAAGAAGAGCGACCGTCCGTTTTCTTGGGTTGACAAAGCCAAAACATACGCAAAGCTAAATAAAGGTATCATCACTTGAGTTCAGTGGTGCCCAGTAAACCGTTCAATGCTGATAAGTGTTTCGAAAACAATACGCTTGAGGCTCGGTCAATTTTTTGTTTTACTTATTTCAGTTTGTACTATCGAAAAAGTAAACACAATACTTGACAATATTGAAAATAATCGACTGCTTTTTGAGCTCAGGATTTGATATGGTTGTGGAAAAAATATGAACACGTCATCACTTTAACGTATCAATTATTTACAGTGCGATCTTTTTTATTACCGGCAAAGACCGGAAAGACTCCTACTATTCCAGAGGTACGGAATCCAGTGCCCGGAGGCTATCCAAGTCCGTAAGCACGTGATGGCTACCTTGAGCCACGAGGTCAAAGTGAACGGCATTGAACACGCTATTTGATTATTGGAACGAAGTTCCTTACGGCAGGCTTGGAGGAGAAAGGGATTTTGTTGCGCGACCGAACTGAAAAAAATGTGATAGTAAAACCGTAAGAAAAAGTCCATGGAATAAAACCGTTCAATGAGACGTGCGCAGGCGCGACAGTAGTATACACAAGCGAGTAGTGTATAATGCCTTTCTCTTTCTCCTTCTTTCTTTTCGTTCTCTCATCTCTTCTCTCTCTATTTTGTAATTATTTCTATTTCTATGTAATTTTATGTTGTCAAACAAAAATAAAGAGACATATTTTAATTGATAATTTGAATTACGATTTTTTTTTTTATTTTACTTAATTTATTATTTCCTAAAATACTGAATTTCCTAAATACTTTCCTGTACTTAAATAAAAACTAATCAGCAAAATTTAAGAGAAAAATCAAGAAAGCCTACATAAAATTGAGCACAATTTTTTTTTTGCAAATTGTGTCGATTCTACATTAGCCGAAGGAACTTCGTTCCTACCTGGTGTCCCACGACACCACATATTTTTTTAAAATATGAAATGGTTCCTACCGACTTTTCAGTAGTCTATAAAGACATAATAATCTATTACTTACGCCCCAGACAGGGTCAACGCCCAATAAATAAAGATTTCTCGTTTTCCCTTTCGGGTCTAAATTGAGGACACTTTGTTTAGCTAGGGCTTCTGAAGAGAAGGTATTCACCCAATAAGACGGCATTGGTACTATCGACCTGCCGAAACAATCGTTGTACACAACACCGGAAAAAAAACTGAACATGCCCATCAATAAAATGATATAGCGACCTGAAAAAACACAATTAGTTAAATTCACTCCACCAGGTCGTTCAGATTTTAGAATCATAATATATTTATTTTAATCCTTCTTTTGGTATCCATGAGAAGCCGTAACCACTTACAGTGTGTACGACGTGGTTAAATCTCCATTTCTCGTGGAATAGTGGCCGTAATGAATGGCGTAGTTACGCCATCTAGTAGGAGTTCCCATAGACACATCCCACTCAGTTTTTTGCCGGATCTTCTCAGTGGCTTGCGATTCCGATTTTGTGATGGATTCTGCAAAGCCCTACTCTTGCTAGGACTACTGCTAGCAAATTCTCTCAGTTTGAGCCCGTGCGCACATCTTCCCATCAGTGCATAGCTGGAATGGCTGCTTAGGCTATCAGTGAATGAATACGTGCGGAAACAAAAGGCAGGAATGGATGGAAAAGTACAATTGTGACATCGCTGTCGCTGACGCTTGTCGCTCGCCAAAGCTGCAGAAGGAAACTTTTGCAGGTCTAGTCTCCCACCACTGCGCAAGTCCGATGACACTCTGGCCCACAGCGCGAAAGAGAAGGCTGACCTTCTGGTCAAACTCTTCGCCTCGAACTCGACTGTGGACGACGGGGGTGCCACACCACCGAACATCCCCCGGTGTGATAGCTCCCTGCCGGATATCTGCTTCACACAGTGTGCAGTCAGGCGGGAGCTCCGACTCCTGGACGTCCATAAGTCGAGTGGGCCAGACGGCATCCCCGCAGTGGTTTTGAAAACGTGCGCCCCTGAGCTGACGCCTGCGCTAACGCGTTTGTATCGCCTCTCTTATTGCACTAACAGGGTTCCGTCTTCATGGAAGACCGCCCACGTCCACCCTATCCCCAAGAAGGGTGACCGGTCGGACCCATCGAGCTATAGGCCTATCGCGATAACTTCCTTGCTTTCCAAGGTGATGGAGCGAATATAAATACTACAACTCCTGAAGTATCTTGAAGATCGCCAGCTGATCAGTGACCGACAGTACGGTTTCCGTCACGGTCGCTCAGCTGGCGATCTTCTTGTATACCTTACTCACAGGTGGGCTGAAGCCTTGGAGAGCAAGGGCAGGCTCTTGCTGTGAGCCTTGATATCGCGAAGGCCTTCGACAGGGTCTGGCATAGGGCACTTCTGTCGAAGCTACCATCTTCGGAATCCCCGAGGGTCTCTGCAAGTGGATCTAGCTTTCGGGATTCTGGGCGGAGCATCACGGTCCCGTTGTAGACGGTGAATGTTTAGTACCTGACTCATTTAACTGCTGGCGATTCCACAGAGGTTCGGTGTCGTCTCACCCCCACGCTTTTCATCCTGTATATCAATGACATGCTGTCTATTGATGGCATACATTGCTATGCGGATGACAGCACGGGGGATGCGCGATATATCGGCCATCAGAGTCTCTCTCGGAGCGTGGTGCAAGAGAGACGATCAAAACTTGTGTCTGAAGTGGAGAACTCTCTGGGGCGAGTCTCCGAAATGGGGTGAATCGAACTTAGTTCAATTCAACCCGTTGAAGACACAGGTTTGCGCGTTCACTGCGAAGAAGGACCCCTTTGTCATGGCGCCGCAATTCCAAGGAGTATCCCTGCAACCTTCCGAGAGCATCGGGATACTTGGGGTCGACATTTCGAGTGATGTCCAAGTTTCGGAGTCATTTGGAAGGCAAAGCCAAGTTGGCGTCCAAAATGCTGGGAGTCCTCAACAGAGCGAAGCGGTATTCACGCCTGGACAAAGACTTTTGCTTTATAAAGCACAAGTCCGGCCTCGCGTGGAGTACTGCTCCCATCTCTGGGCCGGGGCTCCCAAATACCAGCTTCTTCCATTTGACTCCATACAGAGGAGGGCCGTTCGATTCGTCGATAATCCCATTCTCGCGGATCGTTTGGAACCTTTGGGTCTGCGGAGGGACTTCGGTTCCCTCTGTATTTTGTACCGTATGTTCCATGGGGAGTGCTCTGAGGAATTGTTCGAGATGATACCGGCATCTCGTTTTTACCATCGCACCGCCCGCCACCGGAGTAGAGTTCATCCATACTACCTGGAGCCACTGCGGTCATCCACAGTGCGTTTCCAGAGGTCTTTTTTGCCACGTACCATCCGGCTATGGAATGAGCTCCCCTCCACGGTGTTTCCCGAGCGCTATGACATGTCCTTCTTCAAACGAGGCTTGTGGAGAGTATTAAGCGGATAGGCAGCGGCTTGGCTCTGCCCCTGGCATTGCTGAAGTCCATGGGCGACGGTAACCACTCACCATCAGGTGGGCCGTATGCTCGTCTGCCTACAAGGGCAATAAAAAAAAAAAAAAAAAAAAAAAAAAAAAAAAAAAAAAAAAAAAAACAATACACAAATCGTATCGAGTATCTGGTGGGTGAGCATAGGTTCAGCCAGTAGGAGTGGGATTTGGAAACAGCTGCCGAGCGTCTCCGAAAGAAACTATTACCGGATCGGAACTGCAATCCACTGAGAAGATCGGGCGAGAAAATCAGTTGGTAACTGCTATTGACTAGGTTTCAAATCGGACTCTTCGACGAATTCGACCAATAAACTTGCACTTTAGATGCTACTACCAATAGCTTCCAAAAGCATTCCTAGTGGGAGATAATCGGACATTGATTCGGAATCATTATATGCGGCGCAAATACCTAAGCACCACTGAGAACGGGCAACGGAAACAGTTCAACAGAAGTTCAAAGTCAAAAGCAATCCGAGTTTCATAAATGACTTGGCCTTATAAGCCACCATCAGCGTTATTACAAAATACATTATAAACGATAATATAAAAAAAAAAAGTGTTTAAAACTGTTTCTTTCATTCATATATTAACCAAAGTGAACCAAATTCAATCCGTGATTACTAACTAGTCATTTTGAACTTAGTAAAATTGAAAAGTGAAGAGGGGTTTGGTGATTATTACAAAAACGAACTTAATAATTATAGTTCATATTTTCAACCAAACTTTTAACGATAATTTGTTTTTATTATATGGAGAAATTAAATGATAATAAAACTCAAAAGAATCTGTATAAAATTATCAGCTACGCATCATAATAATTATGTACCTCCAAATATAATGTTCCAAATCTCATTTCTACTTTTCATGGCTATGAATTTTTCCTCGTTTTTAACCATCCAAGTAGAAAACGACAATAATATTAAAGCGTGTCCCATATCACCGAACATCAAAGCAAACAAAAACGGGAAAGATATTATTGTATAAAGAGCTGTAACAAAAAAAAAAAGTCTGAGAAGGCGCTTCATTATATTACCAGTAACATCAAACTCTTTGCTTCTACTATTTAATAGCTACACACTATTGAAATATGGGGAATATTTATATATTTTTACTGGTGGTAGGAACTCTTGTGAGTCCGCGCGGGTAGGTACCACCACCCTGCTTATTCCTGCCGTGAAGCAGTAATGCGTTTCGGTTTGAAGGGCGCGGCAGCCGTTGTAACTATACTGAGACCTTAGAACTGATATCTCGAGGTGGGTGGCGCATTTACGTCGTACATGTCTATGGGCTCCAGTAACCACTTAGCACCAGGTGGGCTGTAAGCTCGTCCACCCATCTAAGCAACAAAAAAAAGATGTAGGTATTGTATATTCTTGTAATATTAATCTGTAATATTCTTGTCAGATGTGCCATTTGCTAGTTTGCGACAGCTGTACATCCTACCTCTGTTTTCAAAATTTTGTGATGAATGAATGTGTGAATTCTATGAATATGAATCATTCATATGAATTCTAACCACGATAAGTGAGTTTCACTGTCTGTTCTGTTCGAAAGCATCAAGCTTATATATATGTATATATATTTTTTGTGACTTATTGAGTACAAAAATTGAATAGCAATCAAACTATATTTTGGATGGATCACTGGCTATTAAATAATATTCAGAGTACATACCTAAACAACCGAAAAATTAGAAATTAAATTAATTAAAAAGGTTTTAATATATCCATTTGAAACAAAGATTCATAGCTTTGGTGTGATTAACGCGTGTAAATATTATATCAATCACGATTGAAAACTTTATTAAGTAATTCTCATCCAGCATTATCCTGCTCTGATGGAAAAACGCACAAAAAATTAAACACAGACTCGGAACGCCACATACCGAAATTAACAAAGACGGAACCCCGACACCGTGGTCGACGCCAAAGTGCTTGTTATTACACTTTCGCAAACACGAGCAAGCTATAAAATCTTTGTAAAACGCTGTACTAAATAGAACGCTTGACTTCTATTCGATCGTGATACGCTTTTCTAACGTAATACAGTTATTGTATGCTTCCACACAAAACACTAATACAAGCAATAACGCTAAACATTCGTTACTAAGTAGGTATAACAATAATAAATATCCCGATCTATAGACCGCTACACGGATCACTTGACGGCACGCGCGATAACATTATCCGAAATGTGTTTCATGTTGTAATTTCACGGCTACGTCTGTTGAATTTCGATCATAATAATCTACGTCTGCCATATGCGTATCAACTGGATTACCTGGATTCAGTTCCCTGTACATAGAATCGCCGTAAGCATTGATCAGAACTTGAAAGCCGTGCGTGTATTTGTTCGTACGATTGAACGTGGGCGGCGACATTGAAAACGTAGTTTTAGATATAAATGAGGGCACATTTGTACCGATCGTTTCCTGTAACAACCATCTATACGTGTACCGAGGAAAATGTTACAACACCAAAAAAAAAGAATGAACTTCCATTAAAATGAATTGGCTCGTCGTAACGCGAAACCAACGGGAAATGCGTTCCGAATAACAGATACAACATTAGCTGAAGCATTTTAATACTAAAGAAAGAAAAAAAACAAAGCCTTTCTTATTTTTTGCGTTAATACGTAAATCAGCTCGCGGTCTCCCTGGTGTTTTAGTGGTCAACAGAGCTAACAAAAAGGTATGGTCACCGCAGTTTTTTTATATACATTTTTTTTTTCGTCTTTATCGAAAATAAAACTTTCATCGGAGAGAGATATGCTCGATTCAATGCCCCCCCCTAAACTTATCGAAAGTTATAATAGGATTATTTAAAGTTTATCGGACCCTAATGAGCATAAGACCAATACAATATATTTGTTCGAGTATCTCAAGTATCATTCTACGTTTGCTCTCTCTCCGTTCGTTTATTCTGAACTTACATTATTTGTTACTAAGCTAATTTCTCGAAAAGTCAAGAGCCAAGAGACATTCACGTCTACTTATCTTATAACAACTTGAGAGGTATTACTGAATTACCGAGCATTCCACTAAAATGTCTTGAACTCTCATGAGATCGCGTTCCGGTATCCAGCATTGGCCAATTAGACATTTCTTTGTAATGTCCAAGGAGAAAAGGTTCATGGTATGATAAATCGCCTTGGCTTTTTTCACTTGTACAATTCCGTTCTGCCATTGCTTGCCGACAGTCCGTAAGGTTTTGCAGCGAATGTACTTTGATTTACTCAAAATCTACAAAGATAAGTTAAATTTACACCCTACACAATTTATGACCCCGGGTTTTCCGAATTTCACCCACCTACAATGGTTTTCCGTAGAACATAATGTATGAGAAACAAATGATGATTCACAATCAGATTCGGTCAAATACAATGAAACTGGCAATCACGCGTGTCATTCGAGAGGTCGCAAATTGGGGTATATTTTTATTGCTTAAACATTTAATTTTAGTAGACGTACATAATATTAATTGCTAGTTATCAAAACTCATTGAGGCGTGTTTTTGTTTATTATTGTATCGATTAAGTGATAATTAAGGCATATTATAAAAAATGAATTTTACCGCGGACCCTTTACTTGAAAACGATTTTCTCAATTGCATAGACAAATGAAGCGTGGGGCTGTTTCGTGCTAGAATTATGACAAGAATCCAAGTAAACCCACAAAACCTTCCTCCAGTAATATAAAGTTTATCATTAAACTAGCTTTTGCCCACGACTTCGTCCGCGTGGAATAGTTCACAAATAATGCTTTATTTTAGAACAAATTTGAGCCTTAACATATAGAACCTTAACATATAGACATATATTATGCTGTCGCGGACTTTTTTTAGATCTTTTAAAGTTGAACAATTCTGTCATAATTCTCTCAAAAGGTAAAAGTAACCCCGATTTTGAAACATTATTTATTGGTGCTCCGCTTTTATTGGTCTCAGCGTGATGTTATATAACCTATAGCCTTCCTCGATAAATGGGCTATCTAACACTGAAAGAATTTTTCAAATCGGATTAGTAGTTTCTGAGATTAGCGCGTTCAAACAAACAAACTCTTCAGTTTTAAATTTCAAGTTGTATTAATTTAAATGAAATTGAACCTCTTCTAAATCGCTCATCCTCGTTTCTAGCTGACTTATCATTTCTAGTCGCTCCTTAGCAGATTCCGGGCACGGGTATGAGTTCACCCGGAAGCCACTAAATATTTTTTCCATTCTCGTGCTAAGCTCTTCGCCCTGGCAGACGGCTAAGAATGCCACTTTCCTAATTTCCATGCCCTGCGGAAAAAAAAGTTATTACCTACACGAACTCGCCACAAATTATTAAGAGCTTTCGTATATTTCAATAAGGAAAAATCATTGCAATTCCATCTAACAAGTTTCCTTTTTATAGTCTAGTTTTAATTTAGTTAATGGACAAATTTAATAGTAGACGTTCTCGGGTAATATTTAATGGAATCGTTTAGATTTTATCCTCCATTACTTATGACTTCATCTCGCTAAGTTATATTTAAGTGCCAGTGGTGGGTAGGGTGTGTTGTGTGCCCGCATGAGTTAGTTAGTACCGCAGGCCTATCTGCTATTCCTAGTCGGGAAATAAGCACGCGTTCCAATGTGTATTGCGGAATATTTAAATTCTATTGTTTGTGTTAATTCCATTGTTTAAATTGACTTGGATGTAATATCTCAAGATCGTGTGTCTACAGTGCAATGGCTGTAACATAATTAATAATAATCGTTCGGAGAATCCAGAAATCAAACAATTCCTACCAAAACATAGTATTATATCAACGATATGTTGTAGGTAATTAGATAAATCGTCCAAAATACAAAAATAGACAATACTTAGAAAATATAGTTTCTTTAGTAAATAAGCAAAAATATGTAGCATTTAGATGGATTTGTGGCGCATCGGGTTACTTAAATACTGAATAAAATTTCGTCACATCTAGATAAAAATGAATTGCTGTTCGTTAGTCTCGCAAAAACTCGAGAACGGCTGGATCGATTTGGCTAATTTTGTTCTTGAATTACTTGTGGAAGTCCAGAGAAGGTTTAAAAGGTAGATAAATATGAAATTAAATAAAAATAACAATTTTGTTATTCATTTGATGTGTCCTCCGTTGAACGGATTCCCTTTGTTTTTATTTATCGATTGAGGCACTACGAAGTCTGCCGGGTCAGCTAGTACCCGATATATTTCACTACACGAAAATAACGCAAAACGTTTTAATTAACTTTAAAATATTGTATCGAGTATTCAATTTGACTTTTATTCGAATTTCATAAATTCTTATACGTTTATTAAATCACCGAAGCGAAATACTGACAAGGTATTGAAAACAATAAAAAAGAACTCCCCACCTTAGGCTGCCTACGCAGACAATTAATTAAAGGCTGCTACATCGTCTTCTGTGCTGAACATTATATAGGACGAACCACTCCAACCACAATAACAAGGTAAAATAGAAATTGTATTAAGAGAATCAATTAGCGGTATACGTGTAAACATAGTAGCAAGCCAAACTCCCAGTTCAGAAGATTTTACATAAGAACGATCTAGCTACGACAAACTAGACGAACTCACAAATGGAATAAATATCACGTGCCCGATAAAACCATAAGAAAACTGCCTAATTTAAGAATTAAAAAGTCTTGATCGCGTTTAGTACATTGGCTATCCTCTCCTTCAAATAACGACGTATTATCTGCAGCAAAAACAGCCATCAAAGTGGTACCGTCCAGCCTTGCTTGCTTAATTTCATAAGTGCTTAAAATTGACCTTACAGTCAATTAAAGGCAAGCTCTACTACTGTGGACAGGTAAGAAAGACGCTAAGGCATAGCATCGATTCACATCCATCGCTCTAAAAGTTATATCACTGATAATGTTAATCCCTCATCTCCTTTTTATCATCGCACCTCCCGCCATCGGAGCAGAGTTCATCCATATTACCTGGAACCGCGGCGTTCATCGACAGTGCGTTTCCAGAGGTCTTTCTTGGCAAGTACCATCCGGCTATGGAATGAGCTCCCCTCCACGGTGTTTCCCGAGCGCTATGACATGTCCTTCTTTAAACGAGGCTTGTGGAGAGTATTAAGCGGTAGGCAGCGGCTTGGCTCTGCCCCCGGCATTGCTCAAGTCCATGGGCGACGGTAACCACTCACCATCAGGTGAGCCGTATGCTCGTATGCCTGTATGGGCAATAAAAAAAATTGTTAATGCACTGTCGATTGCACCTATAATTGAGGTGACATCTGCCATGAACTTTTGTCAGTTTGTCAATGCTTTGTATTGATGATCACTTTGTTGGTGCACTTTAATTAATAAATTAATTAATTAATTAATATATAACTAAATAACTTAATGATGAAGGTTGACACTACAGCCAATTGTGTCGTTGAAATGCAATTCTACTGAAGTTGACTACAACTAAAACATTAAATTATTAATAAACAAAATATAAAAGAAACGCTCGTGGGCATTTTGCTTCAGGATGTAACTCGACCAAAAAGAGAAGATTATAAAGAGTGGTGAAAGGGTATTTGATATAAGCGGCATTTTTGCAACTTTACAGAACATATTTACAGGAAATACAGCCAGTTAATGTTCAAAATATGGAAAAAATATCATACCAAAACCTCTTCAGCTATTTGAATGAAATTAACTTAATTGAACTTCAATTAAAATATCAAACTAATTGATGTTAATATGAAATAAAACGCAACTTTAATTACAACGTTAAATGACGCTTAAGCAAAATAGAATTTCACCTCTCGATAATAATATGTTAAAAAAACTGATGTGTAAACCCTTTGAAGTTTCGTTTTAATTTTAATAATTATGTTGTGAAGAATATTAGGATTTCTTGTAATTGAATTTCAGAAACCTACTGAAGCTATTTGAGTTTACAAAGATTGTAAAGAATCATTCCCGGAATACAGATTTTGAAGAATTCAATTGCAGTATTACCTAAATCAATAACAAAATACAAAGTATACTGTACTCAATCTTTGAAAATAAAAACCACATACAGTGAACGGGTCTTTGAGTATTTTATCTTCTGTAGCTTGTCGATAGTAAATGTTTCCTCTCGATACCCTCCATAGCATCATTTCAAAGTGGTAACTCTTGCTGCGACGGACGACCCCCGGCATGACGATGAGATGACCACCGGGTAGAATATCAGCTCCTCTCAAACTTAATTAACAAAAAATAGTTTCTTTTTTAACGTCATCATATCTCTAGCTATGATAATCAAATAAATAAATAATAGTTTAAAAAACAAAAGAAAAACACGCTTTATATAAAATTCAACTAAATAAATAAAAAATAAATTTTAATAAATTTAAATTGAAAATAGTGTAAAAAAATATATATTTTATTGTAAAAAAAAGGGTGTTGTTATTAGTAATAAATATTTTTCTTACAGATATGAGTAGAAGAATTATTATTTCAATAATATCTTAAAAAGGACTCCACGCTTTTTTAAAAATAAAATATATTTTTTTCACACTATTTTCAATTTAAATTTATTAAAAATATTTTCTATTTTTTAGTTGAATTTTATATAAAGCGTGCTTTTTAGTTTTTTAAACTATTATTTATTTTTAACTTTTTAGTTAAATTTTCTATAAAAGCGTATTTTTAAAACTATTAAGTACTTTAACATCAATTCCTGTCTTATCGACTATAGATAAAAATTATATAAATTGGCAAAAATCTTATTTTGCAAATTCACGTCATTACGGATCCTCCTGGTCCATTAACGGTGCTTTTAGGCACCACAAGCACCGGTCAGCGAATTAACCCATAGACACAGTCCACTGAGTTTCTCGCCGGATCTTCTCAGTGGGTCGCGTTTTCGATCCGGTGGGATATTCTGCGAAGCACTGCTCTTGCTAGGGTCAGTGTTAGCAACACTCCGATTTGAGCCCCGTGAGCTCACCTACACGTCAAGGAGAAGCTGAAATAGCCTCTCAAGGCTATCAGCATTAGTAGGAGAGAATTAAAATAACAAAATTTGCAAATTCAATAATGGAATAATCTTATCAAATTAGTGTATTGTCATCGGTCCTCGATAAATCTACAAAGTTTGAATGAAATCTGGCCGTTTAAAGTGGGTCAAAATCGCTTCTAAAGGAGTCAGTCACAAACATACATACAAGTGAAGCTAACATAAAGCGTGTAAAAAAGAACGAATTAAAACTCAAGTCTAAAGTAGTGAGCGCAAACTACTTACTTCGGAAATTTTGAATCGCGTCGCATGTCGTTGTCGCCTAAGAGAGGACCAATTTGGCTTAAAACGTAAAGCATTTCGTTTAATTCTAGATAGCTCTTATTCAGCTTCGTGTGATTTTCTGACATCACGGTAATGTCGTTCTTCCACTTCTCAAGAATATTCTAGAAATAATAAAAAACAACTACAGTAGATACTTCTAGTAGGTTTTATGATAAAACACCCTAATAAACTAAAATGACATCTCGGTAATGTCGTTCTTCCACTTCTCAAGAATATTCTAGAAATAATAAAAAACAACTACAGTAGATATTTCTAGTAGGTATTATGATAAAACACCCTAATAAACTAAAATGACATCTCGATAATGTCGTTCTTCCAGCTCTCAAGAATATTCTAGAAATAATAAAAAACAACTACAGTAGATACTTCTAGTAGGTATTATGATAAAACACCCTAATAAACTAAAATGACATCTCGGTAATGTCGTTCTTCCACTTCTCAAGAATATTCTAGAAATAATAAAAAACAACTACAGTAGATATTTCTAGTAGGTATTATGATAAAACATCCTAATAAAGTAAAACTAATAAAATTCTTGAATAGAATTTCGCAAGAAGCTTAGTGAATATATATAGTTATAATAAAATCAAAAACGAAATTCTATCACATTAGACTTCACTATCACTTCAACAAAAAATGTACATATATATAGAAAAAAAATCTTATAAATTAGACAGTCTAACTAATGATCGATACAAAATTCAAAGACTCCCTTTCATGTTTACTCCACCTCGTAAGCGATCATCTCGTTTGGTTGCAACGCTTTTGGTTCCTGAACGCTGTCTGGTACATAAATATTATCCTTTAACAGCTCAGCTTCTACGTAGCGCAGTTTGCGTTCCATTTCGGCACAACGGCACACCTCCGTTATGTAGTTCCTTTGGAAAGCCTGCACATCGGGATTCATCTGAAATTGAATATTCGCCCCTTGTAAAAATAGTCGAACCTGAGCAAGCCATTAGGTGATCGAAAATGTTTTACGAGACGGGTACATTTAGGTGCTTTTACGTGAAAATCTGTTCAAAAATAATACATCTCAAAGAATTGAATAGTTTTTCGTCAAATGAAATTATTGAATGCAGCGTACGACAGATAGGACGGTGTGAGATGTGTGATCGTAAATGAAATTGAGTAATCATTGTGCATATACATGGATTAATATTGTTATAAAACAGCAATGGTATTTTATCGTCAAACATAGAACAACACTTGTAAGTTCTAACTTGGAATTCTCGAGCAATGTAAATTAAGTAATATATTCGAGACAAGAAAGGTACTGTTTTAATTGCTATCTTCAAACAATGCAAAAGACGCTTCGAGTAATTTCCATTATAACAAATATCTCGAATTGTTTCGTTTCACTGAATATCAAATATTGAACTATTTATAGAAAGATTAAACCCGTAACAGCTCCCAGATATCGTTCCGACGCCTACTAGATATGTTTGCTTCATTACGCTTTACTAATGAACTGTTTTGTTAAACGTTTCAAACATTAGTGGCAATATTAAGCTCATTTGGCGATATAAATAATTGTTATACGATGTTAACGGTGCGAATTTGAATGGGATATAGTGAGAACGTTTTGTTCTCTACAAAATGGTTCAATATTATTATTGTAATTATCAATATTGTGTGTGAAAACGTTAATCAACCGTGTTCAATTGTTCTATTAGTTAATCGACTAAATATGCTCTTCGATTAGCGAAACAACAGATCGATTATTAGAATTATTTGTTCTGCAATCCTCTAAGAGTTCATTGTTCAATAAATCGTAGCACATCATAGGATATACGTATATTGCTAGTGGAATTTTAGTTATGGCCCAGTCTTTACCGTTGTACAATCTTATTCAATTTTCCATAGGCTTAAATGACGTTTGAACTTTTATATTTTCATTGCTTTGATGTATGAACAAGTTCACGGCTCACCATGTGTTAAATCGTTAATCGCAGTACACACATTCAATATTTAGGCCGACATGCACCTTGAAACAACAAGGTCGATGTTTTGGATATGATAAAATTTAGGTCTTCTTATAACGGGCTTAGAAACTTCGATTACTCATCTATACTAATATTATAAAGAGGAAGATTTGTTTGTTTGTTTGTATTGAATAGTCTCCGAAACTTATGAACCAATTTGAAAAATTGTTGCACTATTTGGAAGCTACGCTATTTTCTAATCTTTTTTGAAAAAATTAGGGATCCTTACTAAAACTCCAATAATGTAACTCAAAGTGTAAGAAAATTACCTAAAATATTCTTTACATGGCGTGCCCCGCGAAAACTATTGATGATAGAATAAAATAATGTACTTTACGACTTTGTAGAACACATTATTATTTATAAAAAGTGTCGCAACAGCATATCTCTAACTATTATAGTTATACCGCAATAAGTGTTCTTTTATTTTAAAAAATAAAACAATGTCAAATAATGTTGAAATTTTTGTTAAAGACCCAAGCGGAGCCGGAGCGGGCCGCTAGTTAGAAATAAGATCGTAAAAGCATTTAGGAAGCGGTGTGTATGTTATTTATTATTGAATATATTGCAACTGTCTAGAATTTTTTTAGTAATAATCATAATTACGTACGTAGGCAGGTAGGCAGCGGTTTGGCTCTGCCCCTGGAATTGCTAATGTCCATGAGCGACGGTAACCACTCACCATCAGGTGGGCCGTATGCTCGTCTGCTACACCACTAAAATACGGCAATGAAAAAAAAAACTTTCTTGACAAATCGAATAAATAAATTAAAAGAAAGAGATTGGCAAAATGAAACAAAATTATTATTTACATTTTTAAAGGTACCTTTCAGTTTTATTGTAACAATTATATCTTGTGAATATTTGTACGTACGTAGGTACGTACGTGAATATTTGTACGTACGTAGGTACGTACGTGAATATTTGTACGTACGTACGTAAATTGAATTATACATAGAACTATAAAATTGTTTGAGCCAAAGCATAATGTTAATATCGCCGTGCATTTTAATTAATTAGTTCAATCAGTCACTTGGATGAAAATAGAAACATGAATAATGCAATCTGCCAATTAGTGGACACTGGCTAGATTGACTGAATTAAACAACAAAACCGATAATCATGATCATCGTTCACCGAAGGACGTATTCTTTGCAACGCAAAGCGCAGGCTTTGCCCAAGATTCCACGCGACGACAAACTGGTGCGGGGCCTACTATATACTTCTCCTTCTAGTGCAAAGTAGCATCATAATACTATTAATCTATTGTAATTGGTAAATCCAAAAATAATTCGATTAAATTATAAACGACAAGGGAATTGTTTGGAAAAATACAGCTACGCATTACTGACGGAGGCTTTTTTTTGTTTTTATTGCTTAGGTGAGTGGACGAGCTCACGGCCCACCGGTAGTTACCGGAAGCCATAGACATCTACAATGTAAATGCCGCCACGCACCTTGAGATATAAGTTCTAAAGTCTCAGTATATAACGGCTCCTTCACCGTGGAAGTCACCGTGATTATGAACCACTTTCTGTTTTAGTTGAAACAGCGATAGTATAGTCGTTCGCTAGAAGGTATTTTAGAGCATGATATGAACCAAATCAAGAAGCAAATAATAAGGCAAGGTGCAGAGTATATTTATAAAAAGAACGGATAAATTTTCATAGTTTATTTATTAATTATATTTCACCTTTTCCAGTTTTTATTAGACCAATGTTTATTTACACTTTTAAGTATCAACGCTTCTTCGAGGAGAAGCTCTCAACTTTAAATTAGCAGAACTAACTCAGCCCCAATAATTATCTTTGTTGTCGACGATAAGCAAATTGCGCCTTAATAATTTCTAAAATTATTTTGTTCTGAACTTACGTCTAAAAACTGGACACATCCAACTTCGCCGAGTTGCGATAAAATTTCGAAAGCGGCTTCCGGCTGCAAATATATATCGCACAATGCCATTTTGTCACTCCTCAGCATCGAACCCATTTTCGAAAATCTATACAGACAAAGGTGTACAATGAAAACATTATTATTATTAATATCAGATGGTAGTCCTACCACCATGGTGGCATAAATATATCTGTATCTATAAATCTAACAGTCACTACGACCGACATGGATCTCTTGTTACTCTCCAAAAATTACATATCCTTCTGCGAATTTTGCGTGAACCAGACTAATTTTTCTTGAGGCACAGTTACGCACATTTCGTTTGTCGATTATTTTACTTCGAAATTATACTTTTCAAGGTGTTTTGCATCAAGATTAATTTTATGTATAAACGTTTATTCTGTAAAGGTATAAATAAAGGTAATCCTACTAACATAAGTTTAGATCTTCGAGCACTAGTATGCACTATCGCTTGGAAGTAATTGAAACGTGCAAAGAAAAATATCAATGTTTGTCAGTTTGATGTCAAATTATCTTCGAGAGACAACTACATACTTCTTCTCTAATCTCTATGCTAAAAGTTTGGAACTCTTTTTTTTTTTCAAAGAACCGACTAGAGAACGCCTCTGGTATCTAGTTTTGGATATGAGATTAAAACTTTAATTGTATAATAATGGGTATTCAACCACAATCAAGGGTTGCTCTGCGGCACTAATAAGCAGGATCTGGATACCAGCCCGCGTAGGTTTGCATCATGGTCAATGACTAGTTCTTAAATAGGAACTATGGTTAGGAATACGGAGTTAATTAGGATAATAAATGAGTATTCAGAGGTAATACTGTTGGTCGACGGAAACGAGGAGGTCATATACCCATATTTTCTGATTAATAGCCGCATCTGTTTTAGCCTTTCTTTAAGGGAAAATATTTTAGCACAACCAAAGCAAACAGAGATAATTTGATAAAATTAAAAGAAAAAATATTATAACGCAACTATCTGAAAAGTTAATAACGCAATGTGTAAAAATCTTATAAAATTAATATAAAAAAAAAGTGTGTGTGTCCGCTCCGACGCACGACTGGAGTTTACTGGATATAAAAAATTAAACGAAACAATACGAGAAATAGTTCTATATTACGACAACACGATACATACAGATTATTAACAAATTAACGAGACACAAAACAAACGACTAACAAATATATGAAAATACAATAATGAGAGAAACGGGCGATCAGTACGAGGCTTTGTGGCGGACTGCCGGCGCAGCAGCCCGGCGTCACCTGCGATAACGCGGCCGCGCGTTGGCTCCTGATTGGCGCGCGCACGCATCACGCAATCAGGAGCCAATCAGGCGCATAACGCATTTCGTGTGACATGCTAGTACGATTTTGGTCCCCATAATTTTCATACCCCGGGCCTATATATGTAAATCGATTCTAAAGGAGTAAACTCCAAAAAGTGTGTGTGTCCGCTCCGACGCACGACTGGAGTTTACTGGATATAAATATAAATTTGTGTCAGTTGAATACAGTAAAATATGCATTTATTAAAAAAGCTTTATTAATAAATGATTTGTAGCGGGTTATATTCGGGTATCAACCCACTAACAGTTGATACGTTCAGGAATCGAACCCGAACGGCGTCCGGCCACAAGCAAAACGATGTCGGTAAATTAAACGAAACAATACGAGAAATAGTTCTATATTACGACAACACGATACACTACAGATTATTAACAAATTAACGAGACACAAAACAAACGACTAACAAATATATGAAAATACAATAATGAGAGAAACGCGCGATCAGTACGAGGCTTTGTGGCGGACTGCCGGCGCAGCAGCCCGGCGTCACCTGCGATAACGCGGCCGCGCGTTGGCTCCTGATTGGCGCGCGCACGCATCACGCAATCAGGAGCCAATCAGGCGCATAACGCATTTCGTGTGACATGCTAGTACGATTTTGGTCCCCATAATTTTCATACCCCGGGCCTATATATGTAAATCGATTCTTAAGGAGTAAACTCCAAAAACAGAGTGCAGGAAACAGAGGATCCAAACATGAAAAAAAGATCGAGATAGCAACAGATTCTAAATAAAAAAAAAGATGGACAATCTTACCAAATAGTTTAACTTTAAATGTCATGATTATGTGTGACGAGGTTGCGTTTATGCACACATCATATTGTGTTAGAAACAAATCTAATGAGATAATGAGACCGTTAGAAAAAACTATAGTCCTATCGAGAGATTAAGAACTTTCAGAAGTCAAAAGAGATAATCGTCTCAGAAGATGTAAAAAATAATATGTAATAATTTCCATATTATTATAATATATCCCAACAAATCAAGGCAATCCCAATGGAAACCCAATCGATTATTCGCTGGCTTGCTCTACCTTCTTCTGTTATTCTTCATATCCCTAGGGTTTCAAAGGCAGTGGAATAATTTACTGTTTTCCAACCAAGTTTTGAGGTGGGCCTACCATTCCCGAGGGCCATCGAACCTATTTTCTCTTCGCGCATTATAGTCGATTGCGAACATTACTTTGAATTTAAAACTAAAACGTTTTCTATGTTACATTGAAATTGAATGCGACTTCAACTTGTTAGTGACTGTTTTGTCAAAGATACTCAAAACTGTAAATTCAAAATTTGCCAACAAATTCAATCTTTCTTATCAATATTTCCAAAATCAAATTAAATTTTATATGATAACCTTTTTAATTATTATTTAATGTCTATAAGATCATACATAAATCTTGAAAATTTTGAGTGATACTATCCTTTCTTTTTGGATTAGAACCCATGACTGTTTCTCGGTTCTTTTAATTTTGATTTCATTAAATAACCTTTAGGTTATTCTCTTTAATTTTAGTGTTTACTTTTAATTTTAGTCTTTTTGTCTGTCTGAGATTTGTAACAACCGGTTTTGCTCTAAACTCTAAGCTCGAATAAAATTGCCTGTAAGATGAACAGTAATTGAATTGTTGAATTTGAGATTACAGTACAATTTGAGGTATTTAAATAAAGCTGTTTTGTCATTGTAATAGCCCCAATTACAGTAGGCGACATATAAATGACCGCACTTGTCCGAGCCAAAAGAACGACGATATCAACCGTTAAAATTATGACCCTCTTTTGATATTCAATTATTTTGAATGACAGATGTTTGAGGTACTCAAATCTTTAGATTGTGCTCAATTAATTCGTGACAAAGTTTCCTGTTTGTGTATCGTAGGGACCCCACCGGAAATATGAGTTTCCTGTATACAAAACATTACTACGTATCGGCAGACGAGTGATTCCCGCCACCAGGATATTGAGAGGCTGCTTGCTAATTAACAACAAATAACTCACTAATAAAATCACGGTTCACTTAACGAAACATCCGGGGTTGCATGCGGACCCAGCCGATTCGATTATTATGATACGGTAACTATGATATGAAAAGTTACTATAAGCTATTAGTGTGTATCTAGAATTGTTTGCATTGTACTTAGGCCTTTTTGAGGCGATTGGTAAAGCGCGAAATTAATTCGAGCACCAAATGTTCTATCAGTTTATCATTATAAATAAATCCACAAAGCTTCATTGCACTACTTCAATACGTATATACGGTACATAATTGCATATTTATTTTAACATTACGACGAACAAACCATGGCCTGACTTGTCTTAAATGGTTACCAAATTGAATTGGTTTATAAATTTTTCATATATGTTTTTAATATACTATATTACGTCAATATCGAATTTTTTACTGCTGGTGAGTCCGCACGGGTAGGTACCACCACCCTACCTATTTCTGTCCTGAAGCAGTAATGCGTTTCGGTTTGAAGGGTGGGGCAGCCGTTGTAACTTTACGGAGACCTAAGAACTCATATCTCAAGGTGGGTGGCGGCATTTACGTTGTAAATGTATATTGATTCCGGTAACCACTTAAGACTAGGTGGGCTGTGAGCTCGTCCACTCATATTTACATATATAAAAATGAATTGCTGTTCGTTAGTCTCGCTAAAACTCGAGAACGGCTGAACCGATTTGGCTAATTTTGGTCTTGAATTATTTGTGGAGGTCCAGAGAAGGTTTAAAAGGTAGATAAATATGAGAACGGACAATTACGAAAAACGTCGGACGGATTCTTTTTGTTTGTTTAAACTTTATTTTATACAAAAGTTTAGGTCTTTTATTTATCGATCGAGGCACTGCGAAGTCTGCCGGGTCAGCTAGTATGCAATAAAAAAAGTCGTCAGAGTTATTTTGTAAGTATTTCTTTAAGGAATTTGATACCTGCTTTGATATTTGAACTTCGGCCTAATAGCAACATTGGATACAAGAGCATCAGGTGTCTTATCCTTTAGGCCATGACAGTAAAATCTAATCCTAATTCTGAAAGATTCGTTTTGTGTTGCCTTGCGCGGCGACCGAAACCTGACCTAATTTCTCTGTAAAAGAGCAGTAAGTAAGTACTACACAAGTTTTTCACCTCCGAATTCTAATTAATTATTACGCGTTTTAAAATGTATACTTGAACAGTGTGCTTTTCCGCATTTCGAGGGTGTATGCGCTTACGAAAACGCACCAAACAACTTGACCCACCCTCCTAATTTTAACGCAATTGTTTCAGTCGAAATTAAGGGATCACATTTGCCTGGTCGTGGATTACCTGTAGTACATACCATCAGGTTTTCGTAATGTGAGACTTCGTAATTAGTTGGTATGAACGTTAGAGAAGTGAATTAATAAAATTATTCGCTCCCGGCTGTTCTGAGCGATGGAAATAAAAGCTTGAGTGGCCCTAAAATATGAGCAGTTACAGAGGTTACGCTGTTTTGTGACATAAATATTTTAAGGCTCCATTTCGGGAAACCGAATCACACATCCATTTTTGCGGACCAAAACCAAATTTTGAGTAAGGTCTTTTTTAAATTAATTAAATGTCGTAAATGCACATGCTTAAATATATCTGAAGATGTAAATATAAATAGAAATATGAGAACCAGGTTAACTGATGGATACAGAGCGAGAAAGCCTGTTTGATCGTATTATTGAGGCTTCCTCTCAGAGGTCAAGGCCGCTTCCCTTGGTGAC